CGCGTTTGTTATGTGTATATATACATATATATATATATATATATATATGTATATTTATATGGATACACACAGACATGTACACAAACATACGTACAAATGCATGTGTATATCATAATGAACAAGCCGAGCGGTCATTCACTGTCCCTGGGTGCGTGGCTGAAGTGGGATTCTGCGGTGCGAATTGATGTTGTGATTGTTGTTGGCGTTGTAATTGAACTCTCACTACTGAAAAATAAATATTGTTGATCGTCCCCTCCGGTGACCATTGTGATTTGTCAATTGAAGTGCTCCCCCCCGGGGCTCGCACCCTGTTTTTCACCAAAGAGAATAAATATCTCGGCTCAAACTGCGCCCCTTGTCCCTGGACTACAACAAGAACAGCTCCCGCCTGATATTTCCTCACAAGTTAGCCAAAGCCCCCGGTCCCGCGTGAGACTTCCTCGCGTTTTACTCAGGAGTCGCGCTATCGCTTGGGACCTCCTTATTAATTTATTCAAGAATCGCTCTCTCGGCGCTCTGGGGTCGCGCTCTCGCTGGAGACTTCCTTTCAACTGACTCAAAAATAACGCCCTTGCGTTGGAATTCCTTGCAATTTACTGAACCGCCGCGCTCCCGATATTTAGGCACTCCCGAGACGCGCCCACGCCTCGGACTCCCTCGCAGCTTATTGAGGACTCGGGATCTCACTGTCCTTTCGTGGCCCCGTTGCAACCTTTTGAAGACCCCTCGCTGGCCTTCGTGGACCCGTTGCAGCCCTTCGTGGCCCCCTCGCTACCCTTAGTGGCCCCGTTGCAGCCGTTCGTGGCCCTCTCGCTGCCCTTCGCGACCCCGTTGCAATCCTTCGTGGCGCCCTCGCTGCCCTTCGTGGCCCCGTTGCATTTCTTCGTGGCCCCCTCGCTGCCCTTAATGGCCCCGTTGCAGCCCTTCGTGGCCCCCTCGCTGCCCTTCGTGGCCACGTTGCAATCCTGCGTGGCCCACTCACTGGCTTCGTGGCCCCGTGTATGTATGCCCCCAATGGGTCCCACCCGTTCGCGCCCGTCGCGGCCCCATACGCGTGCGCTTCGCGGCCCCGCTGTCGCCCTTCGTGGCCCCCTTCGCTCCCTTTTAATGGCCCCGTCGCAGCCGTTCGTGGCCCCGTCCTTGCCCTCTGCAGCCCAATATACGCATGCCCTTCGTGGCCCCCGCCCGTTCGCGCCCGTCGTGCCGCCCCTTCGTGGCCCCCTCGCTGTCCTACGTGGCCCCGTTGCTGCCCCCAGTGGCCCTATCGTTGCCCTCTGTGGCCCCGCATTATCTGCCCTTCGTGGCCCCCGCTCGTTCGCGCTCTTCGTGGCCCCATATGCATTACCTTTGTGGCCCCGCTGTCGCCCTTCGTGGCCCCCTTCCTGCCCTTCGTGGCCCCGCTGTCGCTCTCGCTCTCGCTTTCGCTCTCGCTTTCGCTCGTCGTCATCGTCGTCGTCGCTGCCGCCACCGTCGCCGTCGCCGTCGCCGTCGCCGTCGTCGTCGTCGTCGTCGTCGTCGTCGTCGTCGTCGTCGTCGTCGTCGTCGTCGTGGTCGTCGTGGTCGGTCCCCTGTCCGTCCCTCTTGGGGTCGGGTTGTCGCCAATCAACGCTGCCGCTGGCCAAACCGACGGTCCGCGGCCGCCTCGCCGCTTGCCTTGGCCCGGCCGGCAGGGAAGAAAGATAACCATCCCAAAAGGGGCACGATCGAAAACGGAAGCGGCGGACATCGAGAGTTTGGGAAATACGCTTTGGATGACAGTCGAGCAGATCAGAGCGAACAGTCTTCAAATTATTGTTGCTGTTGTTGCTGCTACTGTTGTGGTTGTGGTTGTAGTTGTGGTTGTGGTTGTGGTTGTGGTTGTTGTTGTTGTTGTGGTAGTTGTTGTTGTTGTTGTTGTTGAACTCTCACTATTAAAGGATAATTGTTGTTGGTCCCCCCTCCGGTGCACATTGTATTTTCTATTGAAGCGCCCCTCCCGGCGCTCTCACCCGGTTTTTATCAGGGAAGGTCTGCCTCCTCACACTGGGCCTCTGGCCCCCGGTTGACAACAACCATGGTTTCCGCTGGATGCTTCTTCGGAATTGACTCCAGTCCCCCGCTCCCCCTTGAAAGTTCCTCGCACTTTGCTCAAGAATCGCTCTCCCGCCTGAGACGTCCTCGCATTTTACTCAGGCGCCGCGCTCTTGCCATTCAGGAGCCGCGCGTTCCCTGGGGACCTCCCCAAATTTACTTAGGAATTGCTCTTTCGCTGGAAACTTCGTCGCGCATCGCGCAAAACTCACGGTCGATCCGACTGCTCGGCCCGCCCGCCTGCTCGACCTGGTCGCCTGGGCCCGCCCTCCGACCTGCCCGCTATGGGTCTGCCCACCCGATCTGCCCGTCTGGTTGTACCACTTTTTCTCGTGCTCCATTATGTTCCCTCCCTCTTCCACCCGTCCTCTCCTCCCTTGCTTTAGGGCTTTAGGGGGTGCAGTACATGCGCGTGGCAGGTCAAGAAGATCTACCCCCAGGGGGGTACCACCGAAGACGATGAGGGCGGGTACCCAGGGCTTGGGATATACGTATTGATTGGCACGTGGCAGACGATTGCTATTGTATTTGTTGTTGGTATCGACTTCTCACTTCTGAAGAATACATTGACAGTCCCGGATGGACCTGTTGCAATGCTGGAATTTCAAGAGCGATCAAGAAATGCAAAGAAACATGAAAAACACGTCCGAATACATGAATAATAATATCATAACAAAGATTAATATAATAATATAATACATAACAATATAATAATACATATACTAATATATATATATATATATATATATATATATGTATATATATATACACAATATAATAGAATATACGCACAGTATAGGTATACTATATACAAATAACACGATCATATACATAATAATATAATATAAGAAATATAAGTATATTATACACCTTATAAATAAGAAATGTAAGTAACATATATGTATTATATAGATCACCGAACAAGTAATGATAAACATCGTGAAACCACACTTGGCAATGCCCAAACTCGCCGCCTGATGACGACGATCCCCATGACATCTCCCGGGGCGCCCCCGGAGGCCCAGGATGCGCCTCCGGAGGCCCAGCAAAGCTCAGAAACGCGCCCGAAAACCCGATCATCCAATTCGGGTCCTCAAAAAACCTCGACCCTCGATCCTCGAACCTCGATCCTCGACGACGTCGACCGACGACCGACGACCGACGACGACGACGACGACGACGACCCCCCGACCTCTCCTCGGGCCCCCCAGGAGGCCCAGGAGGCGCCCCTGGAAGCCTAGGAAAGCTTAGAAACGGGACCGAAAATCCGATCCGCCAATTCGGATCCTCAAAAGCTTCGATCCTCGAACCTCGACGACGACGACGACCGACGACCGACGACCGACGACGACGACCCCCCGACGTTCCCCGGGGCGCCCCTGGAGGCCCAGAAGGCGGCCCTGAAGACCAGGAAGGCTCAGAAACGCGCCCGAAAAAAATCAATCCTGGAGGCTCGGATCCTGGAAACCTCGATCCTCGAACCTCCTCGATCCTCGAACCTCGAACCTCGATCCTCGAACCTCGGCCTTTTCCGACGCAGCCCCATTTGCATCGGCCTGGCCAGCAGCCCTAGCGCCGAGCGCGCCAGGGCGCGCGAGCTGGCCAGCAACCCTAGCCCATCCCCTTTTCCCCTCTCCGTCGTCCTCATCCTCACCCTACTCCTACTTCATCCTCATCATCATCCTCCTCGTCATCCTCATCCTCATCCTGACTCCCACTCCTCGTCATCCTCATCATCCTAGTCATCGTCATCCTCATCGTCCTCGTCATCCTTCTCCCCTACTCCATCCTCACTCCTACTCCTCGTCATCATCATCCTCATCCTCCTCGCCCTCCTCATCCCCCCCTTTCCCCTCGCCTCCCCCCCTTCATCACCCCTGCTCCTCCTCCCTACTCCTTGTCCTCCTCCTCCCCCGCACTAAGCTAGGCAGCCGTGGCGGGCTCCGTCGCGGCCTCGGGCGGCTGCTGGGCAGCCGCCGGCTCGCCCTCAATGAGCGCCTGCAAGCGCCTCGAGAGGTCTGAGCCGACCGCGACCTTATTCTCCTTCTTGAAGGCCTCGGCCGCCCTCTTGCGCATCACCCTGTTGGGGACGCTAGGCAGCTCGATATAGATCTTGCGCGCGGCGGCCCCGAACTGAGAGCACTGCGACAACGAGTCGATCGTGAGCCCCGCGTCCCTGAAGTCCCCAGGAGTCAACACGCCGAGGTTATTCAACCAATTGCGCCACACCGACAACAGAGAGGCCGCCTTGGCGCAGCGCTGGATCTGGGACGGCTGCACGAGGGAGTCGAGCGTTCCCTGGAGGTCGGCGCTGAGAATCGAGTCCTTCTGCTGATCGGTCATCGCGAAGACGTAGCTCTTCGCGTGGTTAGACATATCCAGGCAGTCCTTCAACCAAGCCTGCGTAGCATCAGCCAAGAACTCCTTAAAGCCTGCAACGGTGGCGACGAATGGGCCCACGTTGAGAACTGCGCCAATCGACATCGGCCGCTTGACGAACGCCTCCATTCCATCTTGGGGAACGGGTGCGGGGAACAACGTCAGGCCCTTCTTGGCGACGGACTCCATGAAAGTGTCGAGCTCCTTCAGGCGCATGGTCACGGTGGTCATCTCTTTTACGCTGGACTCGGACATCCTGCGCTCCTGGCGCGTATTCAGCTTCCGGCGAGCGTCGTAAGCCTTCGTGCAGGCGCTCACGAGGTCGCCAAACTTCTCGATGAGCCTGAGCTCCAAGGACACGAGCTTCCTGTCTGCTATCTGATTCAACACCCCGAGCGTCTTCGGAAGGTCTCCCTCGATCTTGAACGTCGCGTAGTTCGAGAGGTCGCTATCGGGCTTCAGCACGACCTCGGTGGCGCCGCCGAAGAAATCGCGACAGACGGCCTAGCGCGAGTCCAACGCCGGGCCACCGACGCGAGCGCCTCCGTCATGCACTTGCAGCCGACCTCTGACTTGGCAGCCTTCTCGAACCACGCGCAGAGACCAAGGCGAGGCGCCTCGCCGAGGCAGCCCTCCACCAAGTCGAAGAGCAGGCCGGCGGTGTCGCCGAGAGTCGATGCAAGCTTCACGGCCGTGTCCTTGTGGATCTCATGCGCGCGCTTGCACGCGTCGTAGAGAGTCGCAGTGTGCAAGGCGCCCGACAGGAGAGACCCCGCCTCGGCGAAGCGAACCGACGGCCGCGCCCAGTCGACGTCGACGGCCTCCTCCATGGCCTTCGCAAAAGCGGACAGATTCTCGTACTTGGGCTGGTCGATCTCCTTGTCGGGGTCGTGGCCGATCGCCTCGGCGACGGCGCCGGTGATCTTCTTCTTGAGTTCGGTCAGGACCTCCTCGGTGAGGGCTTTCTCGGCGGCCTCGGACCCCATGGCCTTGATCAGACCGCCAATCTCCCCGAGGGCGCCCGGGGAGAGCTCCATGGTCACCTGCCACTTCGTCGTGAGATCCTTATGCTGCTTGACCGCGGACTCGAGGTCTCTCAGGCGGTCGCGAGCCGCCTTGACGATGTCGCGGCGCTCAGGGTGACTGAAAGCTCTCCCGCTCGTCCCCCTTCCTCCTCCCCCTCTCCTCGCTTCCCCCCTCTTCCTTCCCCCCCGTCGCCCCTCCCTCCTCCTCTTCCTCCTCCCCCTCCCTTCTCCACCTCCATTGGGCCCATGGGCCGAGGGCCGCCCATTTCGAAACGCCCCCCCATCCCCCCTCCCCCTCTCCCGCATGGAGAGAGGCGAGGAGGCGGAAGAAGGAGGAGAGGGGCGGAAACGTGAACTCCAAAATCTAGATCCCCATCGAACCCTTTGGAGTTACCTCGTCCTTGGAGGCCGCAGTCAGCGCGGACCCGGCGTGGAACGTGCTGAAGTTAGCGAGGCACTCTCCCAGCTTCTTGGCGCGCTCCTCCGGGGACAGCTCGGGCGGGTAGTCCGGGGCGCGCACGATCACCTGCAACGTCTCCACCTCCGCGGGGAGCTTGCGGCTCTGGAACTGGTCGGCGTAAGGGGCGAACGCGGCGACCAGCTCCCCTAACATGGCCTTCATGTCGTCGGGCGTATTCTCGTGCACAATGGCCAGGATCTTCTCGCCGAAGAGCTCCACCTGGAAGTCGTCAACTTGGTCCAAGAAGGAGAGTTCGCTGTCGCTCAGGAGCGGCCAGAAGCGAGGCGGGGGCCATGCATGCGCGCCCGCCGCGCGGGTGGCCTGCTGCTGCAAAATTTTCGGAAAAGGATTCGTGGCCCCACGGAACTGCTGGAGCCACTCGACCTGCTCGGCATAGATCTCAGCAAACTCCTTCGACTCCAAACCCTTCAAGGAGATCACATGGAGGACCTTCCGCGCGCAAGATGCCGACCTCTGAACTAACTCCAGCCTCTCGAGAGCTCCTTCGTCCTCCTCGTGCTCGATCTGCTCGCTGAGGGAGGCCAGGTAGTTGTCCCAGTTCCTCTTCGTGTTCTTCCACTCGGCCCCGTGTAACTTCTTGGCGTTCAACTTTGCCTCCTTCAGCTCTTTCAACCCCTGCGTCAGCATCTTGTCGCCCTCGTTGGGTTTGCGGCCCCTCTTCTTCTTCGCTTGGCCTCCGGCGCCAACGCCATCTCCAACAGCAGCAAGCTCGGTGGCATTGGCCTTGGCCTTGCCCTGCCGGCGCTTGGGGGGCGCGGGAGCTCCGCCGCTCTCGCCACCTTTCGCGGCGGCCTCAGTAGGCGTCCCCACCCGCCTCCTGCGCTTGACCTCGGCGTCGCCCTCCACCTTCGCGCCGCCTGCTTCAGCAGCGTCTACGACGCCAGCGCCCTGTTGGCCAAAGCTATCGCCAGGGACCTCGGGCGCCTTCCCTGGGCTCGGGCCTCCGCGCGCTGGTTGGCCACTACAGCTGCTGCCGCGTGCGGAGGAGGCTGCGAGGTCGAAGTTGCCATTCATCATCTGCTGGCGGTGGTCCGCGTGAGCGGCTGCCAAGGGGTCGGACTGGTCAACGACAGTGACTGTCCTGCGCGCCTGCGAGATGATCTTCCGCTCCTTCGCCCAGATCCTCGGCTCATTCAGTTCTGCCAAGTCAACTCCGCCGGGGCCCTTTATCTTCTTGTCGCCGCGGCCGTTCGTGGCGGGGTCACCGTGAGAGTAATCCTTCAATTCGACGCATCTCTGCGGCGGGAGGTTCCAGACCGTCTCGAAGATCGTGAGCTGATCCAGCTGCGTCGCCTGCGGCCAAGTCAGCTGGCACATGAGCTCCCTGTCGTTGCCCTCCTCGACCCAGTCGAGAATCTTCTGGGCGAGCCACGCCGAGTACTTCGTGAACTGCTCGTGGATCGCGTGCACCTCGACGCACTTAGTCGCGAAGTTGGCCACTTTCGGGCACTCGGTCTTGTAGCGGGAGTCGTAGACGCGAGGGCAGTACCAGCAGTGCGGCCCGTCGGTGGTATACTCAAGGGCAAAGACATCCCCGCTCTTCGCCTCGACGACCTTGCGAGCGAAGCAGCAGCGGCAGCAGCGCGCGCAACAGCGCGAAGCTCTTCGAACCGTCTTGGGCCCCCTAGGGGCCTTCCCTTCCCAGACCGTCTCGCAGGAACTCGACCGCCCAGGGGGGGCTCCGAGATGGCCCACGCGGAAAACCCGACGACGCCAATCAGAGCGAGGGGATCGAACGGTCATTCACTGTCCCTGGCTGCGCGGTTGAAGTGAGGTCCCGTCTCTTGGGGCTCTCTCGGGGCCCTCTTCAGCCCTCTATGAGTCTATGAGCCGCCTTGGGGCCCCTCTGAGCCCCGCCCCAGCCGCCGCCGCCGACCCTTCAAGACCCATGAGACCTTGTAAGAAGCCCACAACCTGCTGTGCTCCGGCGTGACAGGGTCTGGCGAATTGTCGGCCTTCCCACATATGGTGCACTTGCATCCCCTCGTCTTGGCCGAATCCGCCACCGTGCCTCACCGCACGTTGAGGCGTCTGACAGGCATGGTATCTGTAAATATTCTAAGGGTAAGGGTTCGCCCCCTCGTCATCGTCATCATCGTCATCAGCATCATGATCATTTGATCATTTGCATCATCATGATCGTCATCGTTATCGTCGGCAGCATCGTCATTGTCATCGTCGTCGTGACCGTTATCATGTTGTTCATCCTTGCCACAGGTGGCGGGACTTGCCGCAGGCAGCTTGATATTTATCCACGAGCGTGATTTTTGTTGGCCTGGACCTTCTGGCTGACACCTCGTCGCCGCCGAAACCGAACTCATCCTCACCCCCGCCGCGAGACGCTACCTTGGTCCTGGATGGCCTCGGCGCTTTCGCTAGCGGAGGCCCGGGGGGCGCCACGTCCTCTAGAGAAAGCAAGTCCTCGAGCGCATCCTCGAGAAAAGCAAAGAGGTGAACGGGGCGGGAGGAGGAGGTGAAGGAGGAGGAGGAAGAGGAGGAAGGATGGGTGGGAGGAGACGAGGTAGTGGGAAGGACGGGGGTGGAGCACAGGGGAGGGAGAAGAGGAACGGGGAGGAGAGGGAAGGGGAGACAAGGGCCCTTCGGCGGCGAGGGGGCGAAGTGGTAAAAGGGGGGCGGGGGAGAAGGGGGGGGGAGGGGACGGGGGGGGGTGAGGAGGGCAGGAGGGGGAGGAGGAGGACGACGAAGATGAGGGGCGGAAGGCCCGCGCCCGCTTGGCCCCTCGATCCTGGTCCATCAGCGTGTCCAGCCGCTGCGCGCCGCTGCAAGATCTGAGATCTGAGAAAATCTCGGGCAAAAAGCGGCATCGGCAAACAAACCGTCCAGGGGTGGTGGGTCTTCGTTAACCATCCTGCGGTGTTGGGTCTTCGTTTTGAACAGGGCGCCCCGGGCTTAGGGCTTAGGGCTTAGGGCAGACATATCGTCCTGTGGTGGTGGGTCCTCGTTAAAACCACCCTGCGGTGTTGGGTCCTCGTTTTGAACAGGGCGCGCCGGGCTTAGGGCTTGGGGCGTAGGGCTTGGGCGAGGGCTGAGGGCTTTGGGCTTAGGGGGTGAGGGCTGCGGGCTGAGGGCTTAAAGCTGACGGCTTGGGGGATTAAGGCTTAGGGCTGAGCGAGCGAGCAGAAGCGGGGGGGCGTGAGGTTCAAAAGAAAAAAAGGGGGAAGGAAACAGGGACCTCACCCTTCCCCCCTAGCGCTCGCAGGGTGGAGCCCGCAGGCAACGACCACCTTGCAAGCGCCAGGGGGGGGGGGGGGTTGAGGTCCCTGTCTACCTCCAGCGGGCGGGCCCCCGCGCGGCCAGGGAGCACGGGGCCCCCGCCGGGCCCGTGCTCACCCACACGGGGCCCTCGAAGGCCCAGAAGCAGAAGGGCGACAGGGTCCAGCAACCGCTGCTTTCTTTCAGGGGAAGGGGGGGGGGAGAGGGAGGGCAGGGAGAGGGAGGGGAGGAAGGGAGGGATAGGAGGAAGGGAGGGATAGGGAGAGCAGGATAGGATGGGGAGGAAGGGAGGGAGAGGGAGGGCACGATAGGATGGGGAGGAGATGCTTAAGGCATTCTGGCCCAACCGAGGGTCTTCCAAGATTACCCACGAGGCTCCAAGATTGTTCGCATGCTTGCTACATCACATCACTCCACATGATGTCCGCATCACTCGAAGGCCCCCTAAGGCGCATATGATTCCCACGAGGCTCCAAGGGCCCCATAGGGCTTATATGATGTCCACACCACTCTACATGATTACCCTTTCAACTCGCACTGGGTCGGTATTCCCGACAGCTGGTGCAATCGCAGTCGGCCTGCGCGCAACAGGAAGCAACTACGCCCCATCCACCGCGGCACACAAAACAATGCGCAAAGTAGCTATCCTGCAAAAAAAGACCGGCGATCCTGTTAACTCTTACTCTTAAGGCTGGGGTGAAGATGGGCTGCCTACTGCACGTCCTCGTTTGCGGCCTTGACCTTCGTCTCATCGCTGTCCATCTTCCTGAGCTCGCTAAGCAGATTGTTGCACGTCACGTAGTACCACTTGCCATCGTAGACCGCGTCGGTATCCTTTAACTCAGACCCAACAGGGTAGCTGCCCGAACACATCTTTACTTCCACCATCCAGGTGTCCACATTCAGCGAGATCTTGCCAACCACGATGTCCTCGAAGCCCGCCATGATGATCCGCTTCAGGTCCAGCACCGTCGTGCACAGCTTGCCCGAAGTAAGATCCGCCATGTTGCACACGTGCACCACCTCCCACTGCGAGCACGGGTCGATGTAGATCGGCACCTTCAGCATGTTCGCGTCCTCCTTCGGGGCCTCGTAGTTCCACTTGATGCGTGAAGTGACCATCTCCCAATCGTCGACGACTTTCGGCGCGTACTTCGCGTCGCAGTCTGCGGCCCAGGCGGTGAGCCAAGTAAGGTAGTATACGTCGTTCTCGTTCTGCAAGGACTTGCCCTGCGCCGCCTCCGCGCTGCACTTGTAGACCCGCATATCCTTCTGCACGAGCATGCTGAGCCGGTCCTCGAGCTCCAACTTGATGATGCTGACGGGCACTCGGCACGCGGCGCCGCGCGCGTTGGCCGCGAAGCCGGCCTGGGCGCGGTCCTTCTCCACGTCGATCTTGATCCACGTCTTCGCCTGCGGCACGTGCGCGCGCATGGTCCAATACCCCTCGCGCCTCTGCGGGCTGTCGCACCACGATGCCGATGCCGCCTCCTCCGACGCAGGCGGAGTCGCAGCCATGATTGGCATTCGGCGGGGAGCGACGCACGGAGCTGAGCTCAGAAGCCCAGCAAGCGGGCCGAGCCCTGCAGCGATGATGAGCCTCGAAGCTGCGATGATGGCTACGGATGGTGGGTGCAAGGATGCAAGACGTGCCAAGTTGGCCCAAGCGTAAACTAGGCGCCCGTCCCCCCGCCCTCAAGTCCCCCCCTCCCCCCTCGCTCCGGCAACCATCCGCCCCCCCTCCACCAGTCCCCCACCCTCCCTCCTCCAACCCCCCTCGCCCTCGTTGTCGCCCCAGCGCGCCGAGCATCCATGCGCGGCGGCCGGCCGCACAGACAAGATAAGATTGGGTTGAGTCCTTCGCCAGATAAGATAAGATTGGGTTGGGTCCTTCGCCCGGGGCGCCGCTTGGGGCAGCTAAGATGGGGTTGGGTCCTTCGCCAGGCTTACTTATGGATTGATGTAACACGCGAAACGCTTGTTCCTAACCGTCCTGCGGCAATGGGCATTCGGTATTCGTTTCGCGGCCCCAGGGAGCTCGGTCGAAGGCGATGCGAACGGCACCCGCGCCCGCATAAGGTCCGAGCGCGAGGTGCGAAGGCGCAGCGCTCAGCCGCGCAGCCCCCAGCCGCGGCTAAGACAACTCCTCGGCACCAGCGTTCTACTCAAAAACAAGAGACGCCCGCAAGCCGCTAATCGGAATCATCGGACACCGGCGTGCCCTCGGCGCTGGAAACGCTCACCTGGCCCTGCGATTGTTTCGACTCCTCCACAACCATCCGCGCGGTGGCATCCCCCACCTGTGTCCACGAGACCGCCCCGAAAGAGGCCATGATGATGGGCACGACGTGGTAGCCGCTCCACATGTTCCCGGCCATCTCGTTGAGCGAGTCGAACGTCACCTTGTCCGCGTTCTCGGGGATGCGCGGCTTGCAAAAGCGACTCACGTCCCAGAGGTTCATCCTGAAAATCTCGACGGGGTGCAGGCGGTGGATCGACTTCGTCTTGCCGTCCTCAGTCAAGCGGCAAGCCATCGAAGCGCCCCCAGTACAAGTGGGAATGGTACTCTTCCATGGGGACTTATCGGACCCAGGCTTCAGTGTCCTCTCGGCGCTGTGGTTGGAATCGAAGAAGTCCCACCCATCCCCCTCCGCCGGGAACTTCTTGTCGCAACACCACACCAGCTCCGCCCCCCGATCCCTGAAACCGCTCGGCGGGTCGGCCGGCGGCCACTCGTACCGCGCCTCGCTAAACAACCGCTCGTGATCCGTTTTCCAGTCAGGGTCAGTTTTCGTCTTCTTGGCGTTGCCAGTCTTATGCAAAGCGTAAGGGAAGTCGCGTTCGAGCTTCTCGATGTCCACCTTGAAGTCGTTGTAAGACATGTGCTGATCGGGAGATGCGCATAAGGCAGCAATCATCTCATTGAAGTTGCCCTCGACATCCAGCTCTGCCGCGATCTTCGGGTGGATGTCGAAGATGATGAACCATGACCTCACCAACTCCTTGGGGCACCCCATTGCTGCCGCCGAGATCTCGAAGTACATGACGGTGAACGCAGCCTCCCTGAACGTATCGATGATGAACTGCTTGTCGGAGGTAGAGACTCCCTCGAAGACGTATTCCTGCGTGATCCGGGGCACATTCTCCAAAAAGCAGATATTGGGGCGGACCTTGCAGATGTACTCCTTGATGCCGCGGAAGGTTTGTCCCGTCTGGCCCACATTGCGTCGTACTGCTCCTGGCGTTCGGGTGTTGTTAAGCGACGTAACGCCCTTGCAACTGAAACCACCTCCGAACACTTGCGACTCCGG